CAGGAATTCTAACAGCAGGACAGTGACCAATTGAGCAATCAGAGCCACTTACTTATAAGAGGCACTCAGGTACCTGTCAAATATGAATAAAGTCTCTTTGGTTAAATTGGTTCTGGTCTTGATGTAGCAAGTTTAAAGTCTCATGGTGTCAAGTCAGCACAATCCTGGTGGGGGTTAAAACAGGCTAGAACAATTTTAAAGAGGAGTCAAATGCTTAGCCCCAATATGAAGAGGATCATTAAGACTTGCAGGACGGAAAGAAGAAGGCCTCCTATACCAGGGTTAAGCCAGCTGAAAATATCTGGAAATTGGAAATCTAATTCAGTAAGTCCAGCCAGAAGGCTTTCTGAAGATGTCCCTTTCAGAGATTTCACCAGATTTAGGCTCTTAGAAGTTTCTAAATCAACATGACTGGGAGCATTTATTCAGGTACAGCAAGAAGTGTTGGTGGCAGCACAAACACCACCCAGTGTGATGAGTGAGGTGATAGTCTAAAGCAATATGGTTTTCTAGGACCACATAAGCAAGGGAATCTAAGGGACCTTTGTTTCATCCTTATGGTTCAGGAAGCAGAGCAAGCAATTCTGTTAATAGTGTGGGAAAGGTTTCTAACCATATATATTCATTCCAAGCAGGGTCTAGTTCAACCCCAAACCCAAGTCTTTCCCCATCTAGTCTCTTCACTAAAGTTGATCTCCCCATCACTCCAAGTAAATGAGAATGTCCTCGAGAGTTTCCACACAACTATTATCTTCACAATCTGAAGGGTTATCTTTGGTGTTAGATTGTGCCCAAAGACTCTTGGCTAGTTTGTGGAAAGCAGGGTGGCAGGTAGCATTGGCGAGGCTAATTGAAAAGATGGAAATTGGGGTGAAAGCCATTTCTGTGGCAAAAATCTCCTGATGAGGATAACTTCAGCATTATTTCCCCTTTTGGGAAGAAGGAAATACGAGCCTGGTAACTTTCTTAGAAGTCCTTCCCAGGAAGTGTATGGGGACCAACAGGACAAGCAAAAGACTATGACTGCCAGTGAAGGGTCTATTTGGAAGGGAATAGGTAGAGATTTAGGGAATATTATAGGCTGAATGATCCACCCTGACCATCTGGATGAATTCAGAACTCTGGGGAGAGCTCACTGAAGGCATATCAGGGTTAAGGATGGACAAGATAGTTCCAGTGTTGACCACAGCTCTGATTAGTTTGTCTCCAATTTTAATTTCCAATTCTCCTAGTTGGTTAATTTTGAGTAGGGAAAAATGTCCCTCGAATGTTTGGAGCATCCCTAGTTTTGCATGGAGGAAGAGAGCCAGGGGCTTTATCAGCATTTAGTCATAGCCAAGTATTGGAGAAAATTAGAAGAATTCAGGATCCAGTCCAGTCTACAGATTGATAGCAAGAACTTGAAAACAATGGACAGGCCTACAATCTAATAAGAGGTATACTTTAGTGTTTTTTTCCCCGAGAAACATAACTTTTTCTTTCTACATTGATCATATAGAAGTCTCAGACTTAAAAACCTCTTAAAGCTAAGAAGCCAGACCAAGGGAGGCTTTAGATTTTGCTTACAATCTTCAGATTCTTGGGCCTGCCAGGAAGTGACAATTTTTATGCATTCACTGTAAGGCCAGGAAGCCAGGTATTTTATCCACATTTTTAAATATGACATTTCCACCAAAATCTTTATAATTTAACCAAAGTTTCAAATTTTATCTTGCTTATGAAGAGAGAGCAGATTTTTATTGAACTTAAGTAAAATAAGAATACTCACAAATAATTTCTGAATTTTGGGAGGAATCAAGTAGGGATAAAAAGCAAATGCTTCCACTTTTGCTCATGAAAAAAATGTGTCACTAAATTATTGCAAACTATAGTTTATGAAAGAAAATTTCCTTAAATCTGAAAAATAGAACACATAAGTAAGGAACTAACAATGTTTTAAATACAAACCATAAAACACCCTTGTCTCCTGATGTAAGCACTAGAGGAAAAAAATCAACTTTATCATTTATCAACTACTTAATTTCATGTAATCAGTTTTGTTTTCATTTTGCTTAATTTTGACTAGTGGTCCCAGGAAAGGCAATTTTGGACTATAAATGGTTGCAAATTCTTCCAGAGAAAAATTTAAAACAATAACTGTGAGTGACAAAAACCTAGAATAGCCATGCTTAAACATCTGATGAAAGTTCACAGTGGACAAGGAGATTTAGTTATATTTGTGTACATAAAAATTTAATGCAATAGCCTAATCATGACTGAAAATATATGTCATGACATATCAGAGTTTTAGAAATCTCACGCAATTTTGGAACACATTTTGATACCACATTTGCACAAATATAACTTAAAGGAAGTTGAACACCATTTCTTAATTGATAATGCTTTCTCTACGATTTATCAATAAGCCTAATCATTTAATCCTTATACAAGATGAGAGATACATTCTTTGTAGCTCTCCAGGAGCCTACCTGGAAAATCCCAAAGTTAAATCTTTAGGTTGAAAAGATTTAATTCTGGATTTTGATCCTGGGGAAATCTAGCAAACATGTCAAAAAGGCTGAGGTACTTCATTGAATAGAATCGTAGGTCACTGCTAAGTACTAGTTATCCATGGCTGGGTGTGGTGGCTTATGCCTGTAATCCCAGCACTTTGGGAGGCCGAGGTGGGCGAATCATGAGGTCAGGGGTTCGAGACCAGTCTAGCCAACATAGTGAAACCCTGTCTCTACTAAAAGTACAAAAAATTAGCTGGGGTGGTGGTGCATTCCTGTGGTCTTAGCTGCTCGGGAGGCTGAGGTAGGAGAATTGCATGAGTCCGGGAGGTGGAGGTTGCAGTGAGCTGAGATCACACCATTGCACTCCAGCCCAGGAGACACTGCGAGACGTCATCTAAAAAATAATAATAGTAATAGTTATTCATTTAACTAGAATAGTAATCAAAAGACTTCAAAAGCACTACAGAAAGTTACATCAGTGTAAAAACCTTAACCCTTTTAAAATTCAATTTTCTAAATAATTAAGAACTCAATAAAGATAACATGAAACACATGAAATTATCTTGGTAAAGGGTAGAATCTATTTCCTGGGCCAGTTACCTAAAAGGCAAAGAAAAAAGAAAACTGCCTGTAGTGTGATTGCTTTTATTTATAACAAGTTCCTTTAGATAGCCTGGAAGTTGAGCCTAATAAGAATACTTGAATTTAATCAGGCACAGGAAGAGTGCATCCAAGGTTATGAATATACACTATGTTATAGAGACATGTAAGCAAGAAAACTGATACCTTGTACAGGAGAATGCCTGGCTCTTAGTAGTAACATAAGAAACTTCCTGGTTACATGGAACAATTCAGACATATCAGGAAAAGTCAAGACTATAAAATCAGGCCAGGCATGGTGGCTCATGCCTGTAATCCCAGCACTTTTGAAGACCAAGGCAAATGAATCACCTGAAGTCAGGAGTTCAAGACCAGTCTGGCTAACACGGTGAAACTCCATCTCTACTACAAGTAAAAAAGTTAGCCAGTCACAGTGGCAGACACCTGTAATACCAGCTACTTGGGAGGCTAAGGCAAGAGAATTGATTGAACCTGGGAGGCAGAGGTTGCAGTGAGCCAAAATCCCACCACTGCACTTCAGTGTGGGCAACAGTGAGTCTGCATCTCAAAAAAAAAAAAAAGTACAGAATCAAGTTGTATCAGGAAACATTGCTTTCCTAGACCTTCAAGATAAACACTTATACAAAAATTAGCCAGGTATGGTGGCATGTGCCTGTAATCCCAGCTACTTGGGAGGCTGAGGCAGGAGAATCACTTGAACCCAGAAGGCGAAGGTTGCAGTGCACCAAGATTGTGTCACTGCACTCTGGCCTGAGTAACAGAGTAAGTCTCTGTCTCAAAAAAAAAAAAAAAAAAAGTGACAAATCGTAACAGCTGTACTAAAACCAGGGAAAAAGTTACAGGACTTGGCAAAAATGTTGAAGGATAGGGAGATCAACTCAGCCAAGCAAAAACATAGACCTTTTCAAAAATAGAAAGAAAGAAAGTTGCATTTCCAACCTCAAACTAGGGAAATTAGATAGAGCTCAGGAAGAAATGTGGCAGAAATAAAAACTGTTTGTAGTTTAGATGATGACTGCTAATAAACAGATTTCAGAACCAAAAAATCAAAACTTCTTACAATGTTATTAAAAGCAAATTAACATTTTATGAAACCCCTTGTTGTTCTAACATAGGGGACCAACATTTTAAGTTCTGTATCAGTGTGTTTTTAACATCACAGTTCAATCTCTAGAAAGGCTCATACACAGTTTCCTTCTAATTGTAACTTACTGGATCACACAGAAAACTCCTTTTATAAATTATCTCTCCATAAACATTACCATGATTTACTTAGACCATTAACAACATGCTTGGACTTCCTGCTTTGTCCTATACTTCCTCTTTCATGAATAACCAGTCGTTTTAATTAGAACAGAAATTTAACACACAAGATTTTTTTCTCATATAAAATCCTTTTCACTTCAATCTTCCATACCAAATACACATCTTACCCTCCTCATATGCTTGCATAGAATTGTCTTTCTCATCAATAGTGGTTTAATCACACACATTAATTACAGTGTTAACTCTTGGCAACCCTAATTTTCAGTAAAAACCTAGAAAGTAAGCAGCTTTTAACCATCAATCATGTACCAATAATCCAAGAATACACATTTTATAATTTCTAGGAATACATGCTTTCTAACAGAATCAACTCTTTAATATGGAACAGGACATTTTTACTAGCAGACCCATTTATGTTTCTCAGAAATAAGAAACCAAACGTGTATGAACCAAAACCCATAATATTCAGCAGCAAATGTCTCAGCATAACATCTTAACTGAAAATAATCTAGACATTCAATGTACATCCATCATTTAACTTAGTTTGGGAAACCCTAAAGATATCATAACTAATGACATTTGAGATATCTTCTCATGTAAACATATAAAACATAACCATTATCAACAGTTCACTTACAAACTTTTATTTCATTTACATCCATTCAATTCATTCAGTTTTAACAATTATATTTTGAAAACTTCATGAGACACTAGACAAATCTAGCTACCATCTTAGGCTAAATTTTTCATCAGCCAAATTTACATGACTGCATGCAAGTCAAGTATCATAAAAGGTAGAACCCTAAAGTTAAATACATGCACATTTTTCTAATAACTCAGAAGACATAGTGATTCCCACCAAACCAACAATATTAGACTGATCCCACCCACCAAAAGATTACTAAGTTACATGAACTTGAAAAGTATTTGGCCTTATTTGCTTAATTTGTGAGTACTCATTTATGTATAAACCAATTTGATACCATAGACAATATACAAACAGATATGTATACAAATGTATACACAACAATACAAAAAGACACAAAGAATTTACAGCTTTAATTTAAAAAATCACTAGTTTAAAAGAACAGTTGGATTCAAACCATGTTTCTGTAAATGGAACAGGCTGAAATTTATCTGTCCCCCGTGGCCAAAGCCCTTACTAAATTTTAGATAGAACAGGGTACAAGTTTACATCTCAAGTACACAGAGAAGTTTTCTCAAGAAGGTGTTTGGGTGTCCTAAAGGAGGATTAAAATGCATGCAAAGGTAACATAAATCATGGGAATTTATCACACAATTTTACAAAGGAGCATGCAGATGAGCCTAGAGAAAACTTAGGAACATTTTCGAGATAATCAGCTGGAAGAGTGAAAGAAGAAGGAGGGAATAAACAATAGAGCAGGATGGTGAAAAAGGTGCAGAAGTCAGGCAGAGGTGGGCAAGAGGTGCCTAAGGGAGGCATTCCATTTAGAACTTTCAAAGGGCCAACTGAGAAATAGGCTTCCTTTCCATTTTCTCTGGGAGGCTCAGTATTTTCTTTGCTCCAATTGTGCATACAAATAGGCAAGTCCTTTGGGATTTTGAAGTAGTCCCCATTTTTGCCAACAAAGTTTAAGATTATCCTAAGTCATTTTTGTTGAGAGACTTAGCCAATTGCAATTCCATGGACCATCATTTTTGCTCATAAGGCTAGCAGGAGCAAAGGAGTGCTGGAAGGTGGCTGATCAGCAAGGAAATCTTAAAATATGGGTTATCAATTGCATTGATCTGATGAAAATGTCCTCTCCATTGCCCTTAGTGTGAATCTCCCCCACAAAACCTTATAGACAGCCGAGTTTGACTGGGAAGAACCCCCTAAAGGTGTTGTCAACTGGGATGGCAGATTCACCATCTCCCCAACATGCAGGGTGGTCTCTCCTCTACCCTGAGTACCTTCTTAGCCAACAGGGTCTGATCCCAGCAAAGACAATAGCTCCTTGAGACCCAACAGGACAACAAGGTCTGTATTCCTAAGTCCCAGGTGCCCAGTCACAAGGACATCTCACAGTGGGGGTTCCAGGTCACACTATCTTTCACAGGGACCGGGAAGCCCTTAATCACCAAACCTTGGTTCCTGTTCTTTGAAACACAGATTACAACAACCAGACTCACTTTGTAAGGGAGCTGTACAGTTAAGTGAGATGCTGGCTCTGAGGCCACTGTGTGAATTGCCTGGTGTTGCTGAAAACTTGGTTTATTGGAGTCAACAGAACTCTTCATATGCCAGCAACAGGAAATCCAGCTCAACAAAGCTTAAGCTATAAAAAGAATTTATTGGCTCACAGAACTGCAAAGACCAGATGCAATGGTCCATTGAGACCTAGAGCCTGAAGGATGTGGCCATGGGCCTTGGTGACTTCTGGCCCACACTCCTGCTGCTCTCCGTGGCCACATCCTGGGGCAGATTCTCTCCAGGGCTCCCTAGACCTTGACACTGAGGGAGGTGGCCCTCTGCCTTGACCCTGGCCCTGGGAGAGACCACACTGTCCTGGTTGCTCCCGCAGGGGGCCCAAGGAGCAATGCCCTCCTGCCCCAGTAGGCATAGCTTGCCTGGGCCTCAGAACCTGAGAGTGGGGAGGGCTGGGACCCCAAAGGAAGGTGGGGGAACTTTCAGCAGAAGAGGGACAGATTTGGGGAGGGATCAACAGCAGATTCTACCTTGCTGACCATCACTCCTACTACTGTCGCTGGAGGGAGGTGCTCAGAGCTGGTGAGGCCAGGAGCTCCTGCGTGCATTTAGTCTCCACACCCTGGTGTGAGAGAGCCGTGGGCTCGCTGTCCTCAGGTCAGAGTCCTCCCTGGTCATTCTCCTCGGCCTCCTCACCTGCTGCCTGCACAGGGAAGCAGTGAGCATTCTCTTCCTGAATGCCCTGCAACGGCGCCACACCTCCAGGCACTCCCTCCCTGTGACCAGGAAGAGGGAGGAGGCCTGACTTCTAGTGACTTCACCAGGTGACTCAGAGCACCATACTGGGTCCAGGGTGTGTTGCAGACCAGGGCCCAGGTAAAGGGTCTCACTGAGCTTTTATTGCCTTGATGTTTACAGCAGAGAAGGCAGAACTGGGAGAGCCAGGCTGGCCTGGGGCAGGGGCCAAGCACAGGGAGAGGCTGTGGTCCAGGACCCAGGAGCCGCTGTCCACCCTCAGTTCCCTGGGCCCCCACTTTGTTCAATTGGAAAATCAGGTATGCCCTACGTGTGTCTCCCATCACCCCTCATGCAGGAGTGGTGGGAGAGGCAGGCTCTTCTGACAGATCAGCCCTGCTGTGTCTCCGGCAGTGGCATCCTGCTATCTGCACTTGTGTTTGTACTTGGTCCCTGCCCTGAAGGCTCACAATCTACCTGATATGGGTCAGTCCAAACAGTGCAGAGAGGGCGTGTGCACAGCAATGCAGGGTGCACCCCTTTTCCAGGTGAGAGAAAAACAGGGCTCGATACGTATTTCTTGGGCTGTGTGGACAGGGGCTGAGGTGTAGGAAGGCAGGAAATAGGGAGCCTGGGGCCTTTCAATAAACGAGGAAGCCACAGACCTGGGCAAATAAAGACAGAGGAGAGAAGGGGGCCCAAGAAGCAAGACTGAGGAGAAAAGAGATCCCTCTCAAAAGTGAGTCCAGGGCAGGTGGGAGCGCGTGGGCCCAGACCAGAGGCAGGACCCAGGGCAGGGTACACGAGCCCCAGAGTGGTTATACAAGTGACGCAGACATTGTGGGACTCCAGAAAACAAATAAGGATGCACAGGGAATCTCCTCTTGAGGGCTTTCATGAGCTGGCTCTGTTATAAGCAAAGTGAAGACACAAGGAGAGCGCTTCTAACAGGAAATGCCAAGACAGGATTAAGGAAACCTGCCTGCCAAGAGTGTGTGTGTGCCTGTGTGTGCATGTGCGTGTGTGTATGTATGTGTGCCTGGGTGCATCTGTGCATGTGTGCGTGTGTGCCTGTGTGTGCACATGTATGTGCATGTGCGTGTGTGTGCCTGTGTGTATGTGTCTGTATGCACGTGTGTATGTGTGCATGTGCATGTGTGTACCTGTGTGTATATGTGTGTGTGTCCCTGTGTGTGCCTGTGTGGGTATGTGCATGCGTGTGTGTGTCCTGCTGCAGCCCAGGGTTTGGGCTCCCAAGGAAGAGGGACAGAGTTCCAGGGCTGGCATAGATGCACATAGAGAGAAAGTTTCAGGGAGAAGAGGGGAGGCAGTGTCCCGAGGCTCTTCCCACGAGCTGTAAATACTATACTAGCTGTAGAGCCACCCAGGCCCCAGAGAAAGCTGAGCCTTCTATAGAGAAAAGTGGGGAATGACCGGGGGAAGAACAGGGGACCATAAGGGAAGCACTGCTAAATTAAGAAGAAAAATACAATAGTAATAATTGTGGCCATTATTGAGGGCTGTGAGGCTAATTCACTCCTCACAGCACCTCTGAGAATTAAAAGCTGCACAGAGAAGTTAGGTGACTTGCCTGAGGTCACATAGCTAATAAGCTGGCAGTGCTGGGACAGATCAAGAGAACAGCCTGGCTTTGGACCTAAAATCTCACACTTCAGTTATGCCAGTGAGGAATCCAGCTCTTGCTGGGAAGGCACCCACATAAGGTCTCTGGCCTATAATCCTGGGTGCTGAGTTCCTTCTCTAGAACTGGGGGTGGTGAGGGTGCCAGATCAAGGCAGCCACACCCACTGCATCTGTGGGTGAGCCCCAAGTTGGCCGGGGCAGTGAAAGGGATGAGGCTTTCAGAGCTCCAGAGCTTTGCCTGGACCGCTGAGGACAAGGATGGCCCCGAGGAGTCCCCAAGGTCTGGGGAGGGAATGGGGTGGAGCTCTACAGCTGGTATTGTCATGCCATTCTCCTTGGGGGGCTCCCCTTGCTCTATAGGGGCCAGGAGTCGTGTCACTGTGAGGAAGAAGGGGCCTAAGGGATAGAAACGCAGGAATTGGTTTGAATTAGTGTGAGGAATTAGTTTGAATATCATAGAGAAAAATATCTAGAAGTCTTAAAACCTGCTGGGCTTGGTAGTGATATCACTGCCAGTCAGTCCTAAGGCAAAGAACTATTTGCAAAACGTTATCCATCAAGCCACTAACTGTAAAGGAGGAAAGGTAGAGGCATCCTCAACTTTCAACACCCGCAGAGGGTTTAAGTATCTTAGTAATTCCTGGTTGCCCATGCAGCCATTAGAGAGATGATAAACAGGAGCTCCTGGCAGCACGGATCGATGCTCACTGTAAAAGGTGGGATACTAACAGTATGCCATGATTTTGCTCAGTAAAAACGTGCTTACGGGAAAAATTGGAAAATTTTTCTACTTCCAAAAAGTAGAAAATTCAGTAAAATTTAAATAGCAATGTGGAATGATAGGTGAATGAAACAAATATTTTACCTCCCTCAGTAGAGTCAAAAACACAGTTATTTTTGAAAGAATATAAAATAAAAATTAGCAAGCAGTTTAAAAACAAGCATCAGAGCAGAGACAAAGTATGGTTCTCTATTTGCTTGGCAACAGCAAAATGGCAGGATCCTCTGGGCCCCCGGCCTAGCACAGGACTGAGAACTTTATAGGTGCCCACTGAACATGTGTGGAGTGATCCTGGCAAAATCCAGAGGCAGAGATGGAATCCCTGCTCCCCAGGAGTGGCTGGTTATCACACAGCAGTGCTGATAAGCAGGCACATGGGCTGTGATAAGCACCTGTGGGGGAAGGGTATGATCTGAATCCAGGTGGATGACGTGCAGACAGGGCCAGACTGGGGCTCCCACCCCAGGGAGGAAGTTACTGAGGGACTGGACAGGGGAGGGGTGCACAGTGAGGCCTGTTGGGGTTTTTCATGTTCCTGCAAAAGCTTCAGATGACTTCCACTTGGTGAGACCAGGAGCTGGAGCAGCCAGACTAGGCCTTGAGCAACTCATTCATGGAAGACGGTGGAAACCCCACCATCCTGTGCTAGACGCTGTGCCCAGAGGGGTGGACTCCAGGGAAAATGCAGAGCAGCTAGGGTCCCAGGAGGACACTCTGGTGCTGTAGTGCCCCTCCCTTGCCACACTGCGTTTTCTCAGGCAGGGGGCAGGAGGGCAAAGTCTGCCTCAGGTCCTGAGCGAGAGGAGAGGGTGGGAGGTAGAATGGGACACAGTAGGTACCGTGGAAAGCCATGCAGGAGGAATGGAATGTGCAGTCAGCAGGAGCAGAAAAGAGGTTCTTGGGGCTGGATCTAGTGAGGGCCCACCAGTGGCCCCAGCCTGCGCTCAGGCCTTCATGTAGGAAGAACTCACCAGGCTGGGTGTCACCTGGGTTGCTAAGGTGGCATCACTGGGAAGAGAAAAGGAGGGCTTTCTGAGGGGCAGGGATAGGTGAGGTACTAACGTGGGCTTCTGACCCTGAAGGGTTGTGCTGTGGGTGGGCGCTGGACCTGATCTGCCCACATGCTATGGCTCAGTCCCTTTGAGCAGTTTGCCAGCAGCTTAGATTCTGTACCTGGGCTGCCTGGGTTTTACTCCTGGCTCCGTCACTTACTATACATGTGGCCTGACCAAGTTATTTTCCTTTTCTGTGCCTCAGTTTCTAATCTTCTCAGACCCACTAGTTCTTAGGACCCAGCTTGATATTCGCCTCCTCCAGGAAGTCTTCCTGCTGCCCAAGGTGAATTAGGGCCCCTCTTCCATGCTCCCATAGCAGCTGAGCACAACAGTGTTCTTCCTACATGATAGCTACCCTTTCTTTTCTTGTTTCCCACCCTGAGACTGTAGAGTTTTTGAGGTCAGGAGATGTTCTTGTGGCTTATTTTTTATTTTTGTATTTTCTCAGTGCTAGGAAATATTTGCTGAGATTCATGTAAAATGGAACAAATGAAAATAACCTCCCTCATTGGGTGGTTTTGAGGATTGAAAGAATCAACCTTGGCGGGGTGTGGTGGGTCACACCTACAATCCCAGCACTTTGGGAGGTCGAGGTGGGTGGATCATTTGAGGTTAGGAGTTTGAGTCCAGCCTGGCCAACATGGTGAAACCCTGTCTCTACTAAAAATACAAAAAAATTAGCTGCGTGTGGTGGCAGGCACCTGTAATCCCAGCTACTCAGGAAGCTGAAGCAGGAAAAACACTTGAACCCAGGAGGCAGAGGTTGCAGTGAGCAGAGACTACACTCCAGCCTGGGCAACAGAGCAAGACTCTGTCTCAAAAAAAATAAAAAGAAGAAGAATCAAACTTGTACTAGAACCAGGCACCAGGCACAGACTGTTGTCACTGTTAATAAAAATTACAATAGTGATCAGAGTGACTTGCAGAGAAATAGACTGCCCCACCAGTGACAGGGACAAAGCAGTGGAGTACTTGCGGCAAACATGCCCTCGGACGCAGGAGAGGCAGTCACTGTTGAGAGTTAATCCATGGTCACACTTGGGTATCTAGATTGTCAAGGAAGCTTCATCAGCTGCTACAGGAGTAGGCAGTGTGGCTCACCAAATTCACAGCCAGCCACCAGTGAGAAGAGACAAGGATGAGACCCAGAGACAAGCAGAGGCCCCCAGGGGGCAGAAGGAGTGGGGTTGGGGCAGAAGGAGTGGGGTTCGGGCAGAGAGAACAATGGCATGGAGGTTTAGGACCAACGAGGCCTTTTCTAGTCATGAGGGCCATTTTAGAATTCATTTCTGCTTAATAGCACTTAATAAACATTTTTGAGCAATGGAATATGTTAGGTCAAATGGGGATATAAAGAGAATTGACACAGAACCTTTACCCTCGAAGAGCTCACCGCTGAGTTGGAGGAAGAGACCTAGAGTGCAGCTTACTAACATCAGTACCACCAGCCCCCACAGCAACGGCAGCTTCCCAGCACTGAGACCTTACTCTGCTCCAGGCACTCCATGCATCATCTCATGTGCACGTCGTAACAGCTCATCATGAAGAGAAGGCACCGCAGATCCAGTGGGTTAAGCAAAGTATCAAAGGTAGTCAGCAACTTTGTCTGACTACCAGGTCTGTGCGTTCCAGGACTGTACCACAGCAAGACATGACTCTACTGTTGTTATGGGGCCAGAACAGGCAATGACAACATGAGCCACTCCTTGAGGAGTAGAAGTCAAGCATTGTGAGGCAGGCAGTGCAGGCAGCGGAACAGCATGAGCAAAAGCCCAGAGGTGGGAATGAATTTGCAGCTGCCCCAGCAGGAGGCCCAAGACAGCTGGAGACAATTGAGGCAGAGAGGCGAGCCCGGAGCTGCTCAGCTGCTCCCTGTCTTTCTCCTTCCCTCTGCAACCTTGGGAAAGTTGTTGATGGTTTCTACTTGTACTTTCTCCTTTCCAGTTCCTCCTGCCCGTAACACCCACTGCAGTCACTCTTGCCAAGTTCCTCAATGCCAGCATTGCCAGCCTGGTGGCCACTCCTCAGGCCTTCTCTCGCCTCCTCAGCAGCCTGGCCATCGTCCTGCCCTCCTCCCTTTAGAAAGAGTACCCTCAGCGTCGGCAGGGTGCAGTGGCTCACGCCTGTAATCCCAGCACTTTGAGAGGCCGAGGTGGGCGGATCATGAGGTCAGGAGATCGAGACCATGCTGACTATGGTGAAACCCCGTCTCTACCAAAATACAAAAATTAGCCGGGCGTGGTGGCACACATGTGTAGTCCCAGCTACTCAGGAGGCTGAGGCCGGGGAATCGCTTGAACCCAGAAGATGGAAGTTGGAGTGATCTGATATCGTGCCACTACACTCCAGCCTGGTGACAAAGCAAGACTTCATCTCAAAAAAAAAAAAAAGAAGAAAAGAAAGAGTACCCTCAGCTCTATCAACACCTCCTCCCCTGGTTTACTTTCCTCCACTCTGGCCCCATCCCTTGGGCCACCCCCGATCTTGCTGCGGCCCATCCTGGACCTACTTCTCTTCAATAGTCTCCCTAGGAGACTCATCCATTCTTGAGGCTTAACCACCACCTCCACGTGGGATTTCCAAGCCTGTTATCTCTAACCCAGTGTCCACCCTGAGTGCTGGACCCATAGAGCCATCTGCCTCCTGAACAGCTTTACTTGGGTGTAGTCTGGGAAATTTGAATTCAAAATGTGACTAGGAGACTCACTGGCTTCCTACAGTAGTGGCTGCTCCTTCTGGGCCCCTCTGTCAGGAGTGGGCATCACCAGTGCTAGTTGCCCAAGTCAGATCCTGGGAGTCATCACTAACATCTCTCCACACTGACATGTGGGTGCCACCTCCCTTTGACATTCTTTGAGCTTTTCTCTCCTTCCTACCACCATCCCACTGCTGCCATGCAGGCCTTTATCATAGCTCCTGGGATTCCTTCCACCCTGGCTGCTAGAGAGGTCCATGCAAAATACAAATTAGCCCAGGTTACCCTTGTTCAGAAGCCTTTAACAGCTCCCCCACTGTGCAGGGTAGAAAGCCTAAAGTCCTAGGCTCTTTGCTTCACACATACCCACTGTGCTTGGTCTTGAGCGCCAGCCAGAATGAAACTAAACAGACTGGAACTGTGAACTAGGTTTACCCTCTTTACCCTAATCCTCTCAATCCTACTAATTCTTAAGGCTCAGCTTGACAGTCACCTCCTCCAGGAAGTCTTCCTGCTGTCCAAGGTGAATTAGGGCCCCATATTCATGCTCCCATAGCACCTGAGTAGCTTTCTTCCTACATCACAGTGCTCAGTGGCTTTCTTCCTACATCACAGTGCTCAGTGGCTTTCTTCCTACATCACAGTGCTCAGTGGCTTTCTTCCTACATCACAGTGCTCAGTGGCTTTCTTCCTACATCACAGTGCTCAGTGGCTTTCTTCCTACATCACAGTGCTCAGTGGCTTTCTTCCTACATCACAGTGCTCAGTGGCTTTCTTCCTACATCACAGTGCTCAGTGGCTTTCTTCCTACATCACAGTGCTCAGTGGCTTTCTTCCTACATCACAGTGCTCAGTGGCTTTCTTCCTACATCACAGCCATGCTTTCTCTTCTTGTTTCCCACCCCGACAGCATAGGGTCTTTGAGACTAGATGTTCTTGTGGTTTCGCTTTTTTTTTTTTTTTTTTTTTGAGACAGAGTCTCACTCTGTTGTCCAGGCTGGAATGCAGGATCTTGGCTCACTGCAGCCTCTGCCTCCCAGGTTCAAGCAATTCTCCTGCCTCAGCCTCCCAAGTAACTGGGACTAAAGACGCATGCTACCACGCCTGGCTAATTTTTTATTTTTAGTAGAGACAGGGTTTCACCATGCTGGCCAGGTTGGTCTCGAACTTCTGACCTCAAGTGATCCGCCTACCTCAGCCTCCCAAAGGGCTGGGATTAGAGGCATGAGCCATCATGTCCAGCCTTTTTTTTTTTTTTTTTTTGTATTTTTTCAGAACTAGGAAATATTTGCTGAAATTTAAGGATGGAAAGTCTGGGGATGCTCTTGAAAGGAAATGGGTTACTTCATTTGTAAGTGTTGAAAATGTAAAACACAATATTATTTTTGCCCTTTTCCCTAATAAAATCCCAGTTGTGTTCAGAGGACAGCAATAGTGTTAACTATACTTCTTAGCATCCTTTGCAGGGGGTACTTATGTGACCCATATTTGGCCAAGAAGACTTAAGGAAAACCAGCTGTGCATGCAAGGGAGAGATGTGCTCCCTTGATGTAAGTATGGCTCCTTCCTGTTTCCTGTCTTCGGCATCTTTCCTGGAATTAGGAGAGGAGGCTGGAGATGGAGCAGCCATCTTGTGACAATGAGCCAGTCATGGGGTTGGGAACCACAGGCTAAGGAATCTTGAAAGGCTGAGTCCTGACCCCTGGACTACCTACTATCAGCCTTCTTATTATGAGAGACCAATAAATCTCATTTAAGTCATTTTGGTTGGCTCTTCATTACATTTAGCTGAACTCCACCCAGTAAAGGTCAATGAAACATTTCTGAATAGGCTTTTCCTTTGGAGATGATGCTGGCACTGATGGGAGGCAGAGGGCCAGGTTAATGGAACAGGACTAGGTGAGGGTTGGAGAGGCTGATCCTCACAGGGTTTCTACCAGAGGATCATAGTTTGGCCTCAGGGTTTGAGAAAGAAGCTCCAGCTTTGGTAGCCCTAAGGTGCCTGTAACCTTGGCCTGGGGGTTTTCTGGTCCCTGTTTGGTTCAACTTGCAAAATGGGGCTGTTGGACCAGGCAACTGATCAGAAGGCACAGTACTTCCAGCCTGGGCTTTGGAGTGAGGCAAGGCTGAATTCAGGGTCCAGCTCCACCACTTGCTAGCTATGTGGCTTCCAGACAGCTTTTTCAGCAGACCGCTCTAGCATCCTTCTCTGTGGAGTCCAGAGTGTAACAGCATCTAGACCTGTAGGGCTAATGTTGGGGCTTCATGAAATCATGCATGTGGGTGCTCAGCAGAGGGCCTGGAACGCCCAGCACATACCAAGTGCTCCATGCTGGTATTTGTCCTTGCGTTCCATGTTCTCCCAGTGGACAGATGGGACCGGGAGTTCATGCCTGACCGGAGGCTGGGGTTAGGGCTGCTGCCGGGCTGTGGGAAGCCTGTCTGAATGCACTGCGCTCTGTGGCTGAGTGAAGCGGCCAGAGGCTGCCCACTGTTCAGCAGCTTTGGAATGCTGCTGTGTCCAGGGACCTTGGGTTGCAGGTGGAGAAAAATCTCCCAGACCCAGGCCAGACCAGGCCCAGAAAGGTTATCAGGTCTTGGGTAGAAATAAGAAGCCCATGTGGTCCATCTATCCTTTGGACTTTATCTTGGCCAAAGCCTCCTGGGAATTGATGGCATCTTTTCCTGAATTTGGGGTGGGCTTGGAGAGGTTCCCTCCACACAGGACGACAGGAATGAGGGAGCTGGAAAAACGCCTCCAGAGCTGGATTCCTCACTGCAGCGGCTTTAGGAAAACCTTTTAATCCTTCCCTTGAGAAGCCTCACTGTCTCTTCTCCTGGAATCCTGGTGGTAAAAAATCTTGGAGAAAAAAATAAACCCTCTGTTCATTCCAGCACTGAGAAAGAGGTAAGTGGGGTGCGTCCCGTTTGTCCACATCCCTCACACCCCTTACCCCTCCCCACAGCACTCCATGCCAGACCCAGCCATGCTGACACTTGACAGCCACTGGAGTTTACTTTGGCTCAGGTCCGGAGAGTTCGGGCCCAGCCCCCACCTTTTCACCTTGTTACCCGGCCCCCTCTCCAGCGCTAAGAGCAGTTTAAATATAAATCAGTCCTCAACACAAACAGAGCTTCAGCGAGTCTCAGAGCCATCACCGGAACTGAGGGCCCAGGTTTTCTGCGAGTGCAAACAAGCAGAGTCTGGCTCCGTAAATCTCCCCAAGAGCGTCGGGAGCGGTGCCGGGGCTCCCCTCCACCCCCACCCTCGCCTCCCGATGGCCCCTCCAGCGCCCACCTCGGGCCCCCTCCTACCCCAGCCTTCCTGCCCTCCCCCCCGCCGACCTCTTTCTCCATCCCGTCCAGTCACCCACCCTCGCTTCGCCCACCCTCTTTTAGCCAGTCCCCAGGGGCCTCCCGGCTTGCAGCCTCCTGCCCCTCCAGCCGTCACCTCCCCTCCCTGGGCCCGCCACCTCCCTCTCTCCTTCTCCGCCTCCCGGCAGGCGGGATCTTCTCCGGGGCGGTCAAGCCTCGCGGGTCGCTGCGGCGTCACACCTGTCTGAGGGGGCGGCGGCGGCGGCGGCGGGGCGGGGGCTCGCAGCGCCTTTGACACCCGAGGAAAAGAGGGAGGAGGGAGAGCGCGTTTGTTTCATCATCGGCGGCGGCCACTTATAAAACTTCTGGGCGCGCACTCCTGGCTCAGTCTCCGCGCCACGAACCTCCTCCGGCCACCGCCGCAGCGCTCGCCTCTCACCCGCCCGGCCGCTCCAGCCCGAGACGCCCCAGCCCCGGGGCCCGCCGCCCCCACCAGCTCCGCTCCCCGCCATCCGCCCGTAGCCATGGGGCTCCTACCCAAGCTTGGCGAGCCCCAGGGCAGCGACGCCTCTTCTAGCCGAGCCGGCCGCTGTGCCCGCTCGGTCTTCGGCAACATTAAGGTGAGCAGAGTCCGCGGGATCGTCCTGGCCGGAGGCGCGTCTGGCGCACCTTCTCCGGCACCAGCGTCTGTCAACCGGAGCCAGGATGCGCCGGGGACCCCGGGCTCCCTCCCGTGCCGCGCTCCTATCTCCTCCCCGAGCGACGCGTGCTGGGCGTGTGTCTGCCAGTGTGTGTGTGCGAGCGCGCGTGTGTGCACGGGAGTGTGTGTTGCGCGTGAATGTGTGCGCAAGCGAGTGTGTGTGTGTGTGTGATGTTCACACGCCCTCATCCGAGTATGTAATGGGACAAGGGAAGTACCTGCTTACTGCTTACTGGGGCAACTCCAGGCAGAGTTCTGAGCTAGAGAATTGTCCTGCTCGCTGATCGAAAAAGACCATCTCAAGGAACCCTTTTCTGGACGCAGCGAGCAGTTGCTTCATCAGTGGGATGGGCTTGGAGGTGCGGGGGGCGGGTGGGGAGACACGGGCACCTTGGGGGACAGACTGGTCCTCGTCCGAGCGCCCTTGCCCTGGGGTGCGTGTCAGAAGGAATGTTCTCCTTCCCCAGGCTTTCTTCTCCTACCAGGGCGGGGGGCTCTGCTACCTGGCTGTGCTGCTCGCGGTGAAGTGGAGAATTCCCTCTCAGCGGGCAGCTTCCCCAGGCTGGCAACCAACCCGCGTTCTTGGATTGGCTTCCTTGGTCTGGAAATGGTCCCAGGAAGACCACAGCTCTCACGGTTCAATAAGTTCTAAGCAGGTGCCACTCACCAGGCAAGTTATAGGGAGGGGGTGAGAAGATAGATAGGATGTTGACAGCTGGTAAGATGAGAGCACCTTCCCCAGGGGGTCAGAAATGCTTCCCACTCCCTCACAGGTCCAGGAGGACCTGGAATGGTTCAGTCCACACTCAGGCTCTTTTGCCCATTCTGGATGGGCAGAAGTAACAACGGAGGATACCTCCTGAGAGGGCAAAGCTGCTGTGGTGAGGGTGTGGGAGACCGCAGAGATTACAACAAAGTCCCTTCTGGTCAGGGTGGGATCATGGTGCAGAGAGGTTGTTTCCTACAACCATGCAATCAGATGGGACTGGGTAAAGCCTCCAGTGGGGCAATTAAGGGGAAGCTAGATTACACAAAGGGACGATGGGGGTCTTCGTGCATGGGCGATAGGTGTTCAACAGAAAGGGATCTGGAGGTCAGAGTGGATCTCACCTGTATACTTACTCAACTGGGATCTCCGCTCTTGCTTCCGCTCTTTCTGCACCACAATAAATACAGAATGAATGGATTTTGTAGTTGGATATGAATAAGCAACAGAAATTTTGAGATAATTTAAAGCAATCTCCTCATTTTTGGCCAGACCAGGATGGAAACATTGTGTGCAGTTTTGGTTCCACCATTTTGGAGAAGTTTGATCAGAGAATTTTGGAATCGTTGGTATTTATAAATTAGGAATTGAGAGGAAAGGGTGGGGACTAGGATTAGATGGTCTAAAAAAGGGGCCTCTGCAGGAACCAGGGTGGGGCAATCTCCCTTCATTTTCTTCAAGAAGGGCAGGAGGGATAGTGTTCCAGAGCACGTTCCTGACAGTGAGGGCAAGGCTCAAGGACACTGATCTGTGTAGACCCACCTTGGGTCCCTAAAATAAGTGTTTATGGCAGCAGTTTCTTTGGAGATCTAGATAAACAAGATGATTTCTCATGTGTCGATGATTTAGCCACACGTACTGAGGGTTGGGCTCAGGCCAATTGGCCTCCTAAAGAAGTTAAGTACTCACACCAGTGAAGAGTTTTTCTTGACTCTAAAAATGAGATTCTGTTAGTCATCACTTCCTTTATTCCATAGTTATTGTAAAACCAGAGTTTAGAGCGACTTCCACTTAACTTCACTTAGCCTGAAACCACTTATCAGTCTTAACTTCACTTACCAGCTATCCCTGGATAGCTTAAGGGAAATCTGAAATCTTGAATTCCATTAGTTAGAGTCACTTGCATCTTTCCCTCGTGGGCAATAACCTGGAGCTCTGCTATTTGAAGGGAGATTTCCTGCCAGTGAGAGGGCTTGTAACAGTTCTGCCACATCCACGGTGGGGGATGGGTTGCACATATCTTGGGACATGTGTGATATGGTGGGAACGGGGACACTCAACCAGAGGGTCAGTCATTTGTCTCGGTTCCTTGTTGCTGGGACAGACTAACCAATTGACTTTGGACATTACTGCAAAAATCCACATACCATATAGTTTAGGGGAAGTGGATAAAGCCAGAAGACTCAGATCCAAGGTCCCATCCCAGCCACCGACTAATGGGATGACTCAGGGAAGCATCTCTCACCTTTCTGGGGCCTCAGGGCCCTTACCTGAAAAAGCTGGTATTTAACCAATATCCAGCTCATGGCACTCAATGAGGATTATGTGGAACGAGGCATAGGAAGAGAGCTTTGTAAACCATGCTGTGCTCTCAGGATTGGTACCCATCTGAGATCAATTCTTGCTTCAACAAATAGGATTTGTCCATGTTCATTTAGGAACTATTGTTCCACCAATTCCGTGAGTCAAGTTACTAGTTAAGAAATACTACATTTAATAATAATATGAATGATTAAAATAATAGTAATAGTGGCTAACAGTATTTGAGTGTATGAGTACCAGGAACCTTGGAAATATTTTATCCATATTTAATCCTCATTACAACCCTATCAGGTGGATATTATTATTGTCCTCATTAATAACAAGGAAAACAAGGATTTGTGAAATCGGTCACATAACCAACAGGGGGTGGAGTATAGAGGAACCAGGTATGTGACACTTCAGAGTCAAAGACCTGAACCTGTGTTCAAGTCAGCCCTCACCATCAACACTATGCTGCTTAACACTGGTTTAGCAGGGATGTGCTTGTTCCCAATGTCTGGGCCCTGGAGACATACACAACCCAGCTGTGACCAGGGGGAGCGGCAGTGGCTGCAGGATGGATGCTCCCAATGGCTAATAGGCTTATATCCTTTACTTCTTCATAACGCTCATCTCCAGAGTGTGGCAGCTCTTGGGAGGATTTTATGTGCCTCCTCCTGCAGTAGTAAACCAGATTTAATCTAGAGTCTCTGTTGCCTCTGGCTTAGAGGAACCTTAAGAAGCAGAGATCTGCTGCACAATCACTGTTCAGCATTCGACGTCCAGAATGCTAAATTAAAAACAGGTTCATTCGGTGATTCTGAGAGTGGGGGTGAGAGGCAGATTTTGCATCTGACTTATCCTGGCAGCCTCAGGAAGCTGTTTCTCCTTAAAATAAAACTTGCCTTTAGGACCAAACTGAGGTTATCTTCTAGAAGTTGTTGGTGACTGCTCCCAGATATCAGGAAATCACACACCCAAAGCTCCAGTGTAGTAGAAGTAATGTATATTCAATCAGGGAGGGAACATCCCAGTGGAGACAGGGCAGGAGAATAGTGGGAAGAAGGGAAAGGCAAACCTCACAGCTTGGCTTCTGTGGCCCTGCAGACTTCTGGCCTGGGAGGACCAAAAAATGGAAAAGAATTACTTTGTGTTGGCCTGTGTCCATCACTTCCTTAGGCTTCTGACCCCCAGCGATGGGGCGGCATTGTGGGCTTGCTTAACTAATCAGTTTCCAGAGCAAAGCGCTCTATCCCAGCAACCAGATTCATGCTCAGAAAACACTCTCAGGAGAATCCCCTGAGCCAAAGAATTCCTTCTCCCACCCAGTGAGCTAAGATATGCACACTCCTCCCCAGGGGTGATGTGTCTCTAACATTGAGGACAGCGGTGTTCTGTTCCCAGGCATCTGCCTCCTGAGAGGCCTGCTTCCCCTGCTTGTAGGAAGAAGGGAAGAGAGAAAAACGGGAACAGGTAGGTCAAGAGGTCCCTTAGACCTCCTCTTCTTGGATGATGCTCAGAGCTCTCCTTAGCTTTTGGTTTATCTTCTTGTGGTACTCACACAGAACAAATGGAAGAGTGTTGTATGTTTTGCAGTATACATAGCTCATTTCACCTCTTTCTGTTCATTTTTTGTTGTGACAGTGACTACCTGTTTTTTTTTTCCATTCTGAGAGCTCCAGAAGTGACACTGGAATGTTGAGATGGGCACCTCGTCTTCTTTTGTCTTGCTTGTGTAACAGGCCAGGATGTATGCAGAGGAGTGGAGGGGGTCCCTTGGTCTTGCCCGTCTTCATTCTCCCTCTTCTCCACTCCCACTTAGTTTTATCTGGTCCCATGTCTTTAGCCGGCCCCAGCACTCACTTCAATCCCCTTTCTGCCTGTGGCAGTGCTGGCCTGCAGAGAGCTCCATTTATGTGCCAGAGCCTGAGAGCCAGTGATGGTGGAACTGAGAAGCAGCCATCCCAGGGCAAATGAGTCTATCAGGAAGCTTGTGCAGGGCTGGGCTAGTTGGCCCCTGTTCTGAAGTTAAGTTCACTAACATGTGCTTGACCATCCCATTCTGTTTCTGTTGAGGAAGGACATGAAGACACAGCTGTGTGAATCTGCACCTGCCTGTGTCCCACAAGATCAACACAGATGGTTGTCACTGTGGAACCTGGGGCCTCATGAGCTACCATAAGGTCAGCTGAGCTCCTAGTACCAGACAAAATGATTGATTTCAATTTTTTCTTAAAAAAACTTTTTCTTTTATAACAGTTCATAGGAAAAATAGTACTTAGAGGTCCTGCGAGCCATCACTCAGTTTCTGCCAGTGGTTGCCTCTCATATAATTACAGCATAATAGCAAAAGCCGAAGACCGACATTGCCATCAAGTGTGTGTATAGGTCTGTGCCATTGCATTACCATGAGGATTTCTCCCGTGCTGACCTGTTTATAGTCACATCCCCTCCCTTCCGTGACTGTAGCATCTGTAACCTCTGACAACAGCTAATCTATCCTCCACCGGTATAATTTTATCATTGAGAATGTTATGTAAATGGAGTCATACAATCTGACCTTTTGAGATTGGCTTTTTTCAATTCAGCATTATGTCCTTGAGATCCATCCAAGTTGTTTTGTGTATCAATGGTTTGCTCCTTTTTATTGCTGAGTAGTATTCCATGGTATGAACGTGCCATAATTTGTTTAACTGCTCACTTATCGAAGGACATTTGTGTTGTTTCCACTTGTGGGCTATCACAGATAAAGCTGTTGTGAACAATTGTGTAAAGGTTTTTGTGTGGACATTATCATCTCTCTAGGGTAAATGCTCGAGTGTGTTTGCTGGGTCATATGTTAGTTGCATGGTGAGATATTTTTAAGAAACTGCTGAACTGTTTTTTGGAGTGATCCTACCAGTTTACATTTTCACCAGCAGTATGTGAGAGACCCAGCTGCTGTGACACTCATCAGTATTTGGTATTGTCACACATTTTTATCTTAGCTAATCTAATAGATG